TGAAGAAGAGAAGGGGTTGAAGAAGTTTAAAGAAGAGAAGGGGTTGAAGAAGAGAAAAGGTTGAAGAAGAGAAGAGGTTAAAGAAGTTTAAAGAAGAGAAGGGGTTGAAGGAGTTGAAGAAGAGAAGGGGTTGAATAAGAGAAGGGGTTGAAGGGGTTAAAGAAGAGAAGGGGTTGAAGGGGTTAAAGAAGAGAAGGGGTTAAAGAAGAGAAGGGGTTGAAGAAGAGAAGGGGTTGAAGAAAAGAAGAGGTTGAAGAAGAGAAGGGGTTGAAGAAGAGAAGGGGTTAAAGAAGAGAAGGGGTTAAAGAAGAGAAGGGGTTAAAGAAGAGAAGGGGTTGAAGAAGAGAAGGGGTTGAAGAAAAGTAGAGGTTGAAGAAGAGAAGGGGTTGAAGAAGAGAAGAGGTTGAAGAAGAGAAGAGGTTGAAGAAGAGAAGGGGTTGAAGAAGAAAAGGGGTTGAAGAGAAGAGGTTGAAGAAGAGAAGGGGTTGAAGAAGAGAAGGGGTTAAAGAAGAGAAGGGGTTGAAGGGGTTAAAGAAGAGAAGAGCAAAGAAGCGCCACACGAGAAAAGGAAGCAGCGCAGGACGATGCAGCGGCCACATCCTGTGTGGTCTGTGTGCATCCGGTGCTGTGTAGTGTGTACGTGTCTGTTGCTGTGCAGTGTGTACGTGTGTGTTGCTGTGTAGTGTGTACGTGTGTGTGTGCGTCGGTGCGTTTGATGTGTAATGTATGTGTTTATTTTATGTGTGGAGTGTGTGACCGAGTCTGTGTGAGCTGGCTTTCTTTTGGTGTGTGTTTATTTAGCATGTGTGATGCGTGTGTGTGTGGTTGTGTGTTTTTGTGCAGTTGTCTGTGTGCAGTTGTGTGTTTGTGTGCAGTTGTGTCTGTGTGCAGTTGTGTTTGTGTGTAGTTGCGTGTCTGTGTGTCTATGTGTGCACGTATTTCTGCACATGAGTAGAGTGTGCGTAACCACCGTCCACTAACCACCTGCTAACGCGTTAGTAAACTACCCTCAATTAATGACCCAAATAAATGGTTACTGATGGTACCCTTTTGGGGGGATAGATACCATCTGGTACCCTGTTGGGGGGATAGATACCATCTGGTAACCTGTTGGGGGGATAGATACCATCTGGTACCCTATTGGGGGGATAGATACCACCTGGTACCCTGTTGGGGGGGATAGATACCATCTGATACCCTGTTGGGGGGAGATACCATCTGGTACCTTTTGGGGGGGATAGATACCATCTGGTACCCTGTTGGGGGATAGATACCATCTGGTACCTATGGGGGGATATATACACCATCAACCACGTACCCGATGGTCACATCAGAACAGTCCAGATGGTTCGGTCCTTAGGTAGGAAACTACATTTACAACCTCTTCAGCTAGCCTTGAATAGGCAACATATTTTAATTTTGTAGGATTTGGACCAGTAATGTGTAGGATTTGGGCCCGCAATGTGTAGGATTTGGAACAGCAATGTGTAGGATTTGGAACAGCAATGTGTAGGATTTGGGCCCGCAATGTGTAGGATTTGGACCAGCAATGTGTAGGATTAGGAACAGCAATGTGTAGGATTTGGACCAGCAATGTGTAGGATTTAGACCAGCAATGTGTAGGATTTAGACCAGCAATGTGTAGGATTTGGACGTTCGTAGCGAGGATATCTTAATGTGTGGGGATACAATACATACACTGGTCCTATTTCAGAAATAAATTTGAATGATGAATGAGCATTATTCAAATTTTAGAAATAAAATTGTTGAAGGCGGCTTGAGACTTTTACGAGGAGAATGCTGATTCAATGTTGACCAAAACGGTACTAAGCAAATACGTTGTCAAAGATTTGAGAATTAAATTGAAGTCCTCTAGGAGTTGCAAGGAGAGTCTTTTAGGAGTAGCAAAGAGTGAAGAGGGGGTCCTCTAGGAGTTGTAAGGGAGGGAAGAAGAGGTCTTCTAGGAGTTGCAAGGAGGGAAGTATAGAAGTCCTATTGGAGTTGCAGGGAGGTTAGGAAGAGGTCCTCTAGGAGTGGCAAGAAGGGAAGGGGGGAGTCCTCTATACGAGTTGCAAGGAGGGAGAAGGGGATCCTCTAGGAGTTGTAAGGAAGGGAGGAAGAGGTCATCTAGGAGTTGCAAGGAAGGAAGTAAAAGTCCTCTATGAGCTGAAGGGGTTGAAGAAGAGAAGGGGTTGAAGAAGAGAAGGGGTTGAAGGGGTTAAAGAAGAGAAGGGGTTGAAGGGGTTGAAGAATAGAAGGGGTTGAAGAAGAGAAGGGGTTGAAGAAGAGAAGGGGTTAAAGAAGAGAAGGGGTTGAAGAAGAGAAGAGGTTGAAGAAGATAAGGGGTTGAAGAAGGTTGAAGAAGAGAAGGGGTTGAAGAAGAGAAGGGGTTAAAGGGGTTGAAGAAGGGAAGAGGTTGAAGGGGTTGAAGAAGAGAAGGGATTGAAGGGGATCTTGTGTATCTATCCCCCCTGTTGGGGGGATAGATACAATCTGGTACCCTGTTGGGGGGATAGATACCATCTGGTACCCAGTTGCGGGATAGATACCATCTGGTACCCTGTTGGGGGGATAGATACCATCTGGTACCCTGTTGGGGGGATAGATACCATCTGGTACCCTGTTGGGGAGATAGATACCATCTGGTACCCTGTTGGGGGGATAGATACCATCTGGTACCCTGTTGGGGGGATAGATACCA